GGAACAGCATACACTTTGTGGTTGCCGCTCGAGCGCTTGCTGGTATTGTCTCGTGAGTGGGCTGGCGCGCTCAGCCGGCGCGCTCCTCGGCCGGGTCAGCCTGTGCGCTGACTGCTGTCTGGGGGATCCGGGCGAGGAGAGATTCCTAGAAGCGAGTGTTCTGGCCACATCCCCACCACGCCCGAATCGGTGCGAGCTGGCGAGCCGGGGGGGGGGGGGGGGGGGGGGGGTTGGCTCTCCGCCTATAGTGGATAGCGTTTGGAGTGACAGCGGTAGCAACTTTGTGTTAGATGCTTTCAGAGTGAAGGACATTTGCATATGGGATGTGCTAGAAGGGCTGCGAAGGTCCCAGCACCGTAGGCGGTCGGTCATGGGAGGACATCTCAGGTCCCGAGGAAGGCCTCGAAGATGGTGGAATGGTTCTTTTTGCCTGCTCTGTTCACCCCGAATGTAAATTTCGAGCGGTTGCGCTGTCTGCATAAGCTCTTCTGCGGGGGGAAGCGTCGAAATGCGCAAGGAAAGAAGCTTTTACCCTTCCCTTTTTCATGAGCCTCACGTAGGGTTTTTAACTAATCCACTATATAAGTATGTCGATGAGAATGTAGATAAATCTCGCTTTTACGCCCTGAAGCTCAAAGACAATTTACAAAAATGTATGCGAAAAATTTGTTTTTAGTTGTTTCGGCAACAAAGTGTAAGCGTCGATGTCAAACCCCCAAAAATATACGTCAGAAAGCTTCGCGCAAATTTGGTAGCATGCACACGATGCTGATCTTGACGCTAAAAAAACATTTGTGATTTCCAAACATCCTGTGCATTCAGCTAGCTGAGCCAAGGCCACCGCTGACACGGACACTCCACACAGGATTCGCGGCACCGTAGGAGTAAGGTGGAAGGGCCGGTGAGGAGCCTCGCTTGTCGTTCTTGTCGTCACGCGCCTTGTAACTCGGGAGTTACGTGAAATCCCACCCCAAAGACCGTAATTTTCGGAATCAGCGTGTCGAGAACGTCATGCACACCAAATTTTGAGGCGATATCCACAGAATATCCAACTGGCAGTTGGATATCAATGTGCTGCTAGATTGGCGGACGTTGTTGCTATGACTTGCGAGCGCTCATGTTCAAAACCATATCACAAAGTTTTTTTTTGCCGGTTATCGGTTCTGATTGATCCTGACCATTTTAAGACGAAGATGAAGATTGGACATGTTAATACAAATTTGGGACTCCATTTCATCTGTAATCTACGTTCAGGGAGTTATCGATGCGTATTAAGAACACAGAAAACATGGAATTGGAGCCCATGTGACAACGATTGGACCACCTGCGGCGATTAGGAATGTTGTGGCATGAATGGAGATTCCTGTGCTGATCCGGAGCGAACTGCGCGGGTCAGAAGGCCTCCCGTGTCAGAGAGGGGAACAGTGTGATATGATATACAATTCTGATGGCCTCCGAATCGACCAGGAGAACCCGCCCTTCGTCGTTAGAATAACAGCCAGAAGGCACTTCGCGATGCGCCGGAATGGCCCTTCAGCCTTTGGCCGGAACCGGTAATGTGCCCCAGGTGTTCTGCTCAAGGGGCCCCTTGCCAGGAAGGAAATAAAGGGTCTCATTATTGTTGAGCAGAGTGGGTCGAAATGAGTCCAAACAACGAACAAGACCATCCCATGTTTGCCTGAAAACGCTCATTTTTTGCAGAAAGGATTTCTAAAAAAATACATAAAAAGCCTTGAACATGCCCGCCCGCAACCTCGAAAGCAAGGACAGTGATGGCCTGGGTTGCAGCTTCCTTAAACCGAACGGCGTCGGCCACTGAAGTGCCACCAGAGTTGCAGTGTTACGGGAAGATAAAGTAACACGGCGGGCGCCGTGCTGCTGTTTTCTGGACAGATTAATTGTCACAGAAACATGAAATATTGAGATTCTTCTTTTACTCTTCGAGTTCTACCACCACCAGCACCGCTTCGCGATGCTGTAAGGGCCGATCCGTTCTTATCATCAGTTTAAGAATAACACACGTGAAATATGCGCCCAGACTGCCTTCTAAGTGTGCGATTTAATGTTCTGAAGCGTTGAAATGTACTTTTTTCCGAAGTGTCATCATTTTCGTCCACCTGTTGGCCAGGGCTCAATAGTTAACTGCGGGACCAACGCCGCGCGGCCTACGGAGACTGCAACGCCTAGCGTCGAGGTTTTTATTACTAAGATTTACGAGCGTGCATGCTCAAAGTTACGTCACGTGATTTGTATTGCTAGCCGATTTAAATGTTCAAAGGCAATTATTCATAAGCACCATCATTTTTGTCCACCGGTGGGCCACAGGGGAGAAATTAGCCTCTGGACTAACGTGCCGCGGGCTGTAGGGACTGCAACGCCTCGCGTGGTGGTTTTTGTTGCTAAGATTTGCGAGCGCGTGTTGAACAACCACGTTACATAAATTGTATCACTTATTGATTCTGACTGAATGTTTAATCTTTCCAGACAAACATGGCTTGGCCATGTTAATACACAATGTTGACCACTTGATCTACAATCAAATTCTCATCTTCAAATTTCAATCAAACATATCCATCTGCAATCTACCTTCGCGATGTACTTAATGTCTGAAGAACCCAGATAAAATTTATTGGAATTTCGCCTCCCCAGGGAAGACAATGTTGAAATGGACGAATCGTCTTGGAAAGCTGGATAGCCTCATTTGCCGAGTACCATAGATGAGTCGAGTGGGCAAGATTGTGCACTAATGCGAAACAGCTCTAGATGCATATCTAGCATAGCAGCCATGACATTTGAATAAAGACCGGTAACAACCTCCATTCCTAACCCCCCCCCCCTCGGTCATCAGGCTTGCTTTCCAAAAAAAACAGAACAAGTTCCTGAAGCACACCCTGAGCTTGGCCTCCCTCCCTCACCCCACTTTTTGAAACGTTCCTACGCCTATGCTCCATTTGCTATGCCTTAACTTTTACGTATTCGTATTAGTTGCGCAACAACCATAAATGAGCGTAATCCAAACAAATTTCTGGTCAGCATATAGTGCGTGGGACAGGATTACAGCGCTGGTACTGGTTCACAGCAATCACAACGCTAAACCCACAGTTGACCGCCCCCACCCTCCCCCACACACAAACAGGACATTTTGGCTGTGCACCTAGGCACATCCCCTCCTCCAACTTTTCCGTATTTATCGTTAAGCCCGTTTACTTTGAGGGAGTGTTCCACATTTCTATGTTTTTTTAACCGAAAAAGCCAGCTTGATCTGTCCGTGCAACGCACAGCCCTGCCTTTGTATGTTCTGGGTCACACGCCCCGCGAAAATGGGGAGGCTTTTTCGGGAAAATGTTTCAAAATGACCTCGGCATTTATCACGCCACAACAACATCATTCTAATCCTTCGATGTCACAAGCCATGTGATGATCAAGGCCGATAAGAATAAAATCGTCGAGTTGTTCACATCCGGCGTTCGTGAGCACCATTTCCAGATAAAAACGGCCATCAGTTGGCTCTCAATCATTGTTGTGCGAGGTGTGATGACGTTATCAAACCGTGAGGCAGTGGGAGGCATATTTGTTAAACAGAAAATTGTGCAGCCTAGACCAGCCTTTTCCACTTAAAACATGCCACAGAAGTTACACGCGAGCTTGCTTTATCATACACGATGCTTGTTTCAATGTTCCGAAGGTGAAACATTTCCTTCAATGTGGTAACATGAGTGAGTGGGGGAAGGGGGCTGAGAAGTGAAAAATGACTTGAACTATTCTCAAAATACGCCGACAAACAGGCCTCTACATGGATTTGGTCTACGCCTCTGAAAAGTTGGGGAGAGGGGATGGAGCCCTGGTCGGGGAGAGGGAGCAGAAGCCCCACCCAGCAACTTAATAGGAAAGTACAGCCTGTTTAAGCATATTAATTTGAATGGAAAGAGATGCCTTCGAAAGCAGTGATGTCGCCTCCTTCTCCAACTTGTCAGCCGTTGCAGGGATGAAACGTCTGGATGTTGCTCTTAGTAAATAAACAGCGTCTACAGTGTCCTCCCATCGATTTGTCTTCATATCACTAGCTGTGCGCCCACTGAACGGCGACTTGTAGCCGACGCTACTAAATTGCACTTGTTATTTCGCCTTATGTTGAGCTAAAGACTAAACATCATGAACAATTTACCCAACCGCTATCATGTCCCGTTTACCAAGTCACCCCTTCACCCGGTCTGAGTATCAGCCGGCTGGAGGGATTAACCAACTTGGAGACTGTCCGTTTTAAGACATTTTTGCACCCGGCCCAATCTTGGCTGATCGCGACGCCATGGCGCGCGTCATGCTTTAATGCTTGTTGTTCTGAGCAGATCGTCTGAACAGGTCGGCTGCTAGCCGTCACCGCGCGTCATGCTTTAATGCTTGTTGTTCTGAGCAGATCTGAACAGGTCGGCTGCTAGCCGTCACCGCGCGTCATGCTTTAATGCTTGTTGTTCTGAGCAGATCTGAACAGGTCGGCTGCTAGCCGTCACCGCGCGTCATGCTTTAATGCTTGTTGTTCTGAACAGATCGCAGGTCGGCTGCTAACCGTCGCCGCGGGACAGCCGTGCGCTGCGTATTGTGCAAACCACTGGCTCAGTGTCCGAGCTGGTCCAGAAGCAGGCCAGGGCCCCGCGCGTGGCCGCGCCGGTTGTGAAGAGTGGCATCGCCATGGCCTGTTGTATCTGGACCGCGCCCAACTCATTGACGTTTCGCGATGGGTGCCACGCTGCGCTGTGTTTGCGGTTCACCGGGGTCTCAGGTCTGTCCCATTAATGTCACCTCTCGCCCAAACAGCCGGCCGGCCGGCAAGTAAACGGGTCGCGTCGCCAGCTCGGCCGCGTCACCGGCCGGTGGGGGTGATGCGGCCCCCGGCCTCCCCCCCTCCCCGCGGCGCCGGTCACCGACGCTGCCGTCGGCGGCCGGGGCGCCAGGCTGTCCGGGGACACGAGCACACCAGCGGCGAGTCCAGCCGGGTTCGGGGGCCGATCCAGTCCGGGGAGCTGCCGGGCGGGTGGGAGCCGGTACAGGCGGCCGACGGGGGCCGACCCGACGCGATGGCGCGCCGCCCCGCCGACCCTGACGCCGCAGGTCAACCGAGCCGCTAGAGCCGGTGAGTGCCCCCCCCCCCCACCCCCTTGCTCCGCTTATCTCCGGTCACGCGCTCAGAACATGGGCGCAGGGGCGCCTCCAGTGGTGGCGAATGCAGTTCCTTTAACTTTACGAAGCATGTTTAGACCCAGTTTTATAAGTCTAGTGGCAAGGAAATGAATTGCGTAGTTGGTTTCTCTTCAGTATGATTATAAGTATATTGCAAGCAATGAACCCGCCACCATTAATGTCGCTTTGTCTATTTGAAGTGGCTGCGTGACGTCATCACGAGATCCGCTTCTTCTCAATTTCAGTTTGTCGGGGTAAATATGAATGCAGCAGCCTCTTTTTGAAGCTTCCTTCACTGCTCGTGTTGATTTTAGTCAGCCAAACGCAGGCGGCTGGTGGTGGACGGCGTGAATTCCGCCTGGATTAACTGTGGTGTGGTGGGCAGCTGCCGTTTGTGGTGGAGAGTCTGAGCCACGGTGAACGGTGACTGGGAGTCTGTGTCATGCTGTGTTACGTCTGCGAGTCTGTGTAACGGTAGTCTGTGTCTAGCAGTCTGTGCCATGGTAGGCTGAGGCTGGGAGACTATGCCATGGTGAACTGTGGCGGGGAATATGTGCCACGGTGGTCTGATGGGGGTGCCTGCCACAGTGGTCTGATGGCAAGACTGCCACGATGAACTGTAGCCGGGAGTCTGTATCACGATGGACTGTGACTGGGAGTCTGTGCCATGGTGGACTGTGGCCGGTAGTCTGTGACACGGTGGACGGTGGCTGGCAGTCTATGCCATTGTGTGCTGTGGCTGGGAGTATGCGTAATGGTGTACCGTAGCAGGGAGTCTGTGTTACGGTGGACTGCAGCTTGGAGTCTATGTCATGGTGCATTGGTGGGAGTCTGTGCTGTGGTGAATTCATCGGCAATGTAAGTCGTTGTAAATTGATGGTATGTCGGTGTTGCTGTGGGCAGATGGTAAGTCTGTATCGCCGTGTATGGATGAAAACTCTACGTCGCGTTGGAGTGTGATAGGGGTGTATTTGGTTGCAGCGGTCTGGCAGCCACCCTTAAGGTACGTCGTGGCCTGGTACTGAGAAGTATCCCCACGTTTTAAACCTGGACTGTCTTTCTATATCCGTTCGGATGGATAGGAGAGCGTACTAGGGTTCCTGCCCTTGCCTCTAGAAGAGTTGATCGGAAGAGTTGATTTGCACGCGATGTGGGATGTCAAGCTGCTCTGTGTGGTTTGCCGCAACCCTTGCAGATAGCCGCTACCACACAGTGGGCGGCACAATGGCTGCGCTCTTTGTTCTCGCGGTGATGGTCATCAGCATCGGTTTGGTGCATTATCTGTACCTTTGCCGCTCCTACATGACCTTAATATTGACTGCTGGCATTCTCGCTAGTCACGACTGACCAGTGCTATTTCTTTGCTTACCTCCGTTCGGACATGTTTGTTAACCGACGTCGCAAAGCCAGTGCGTGTTATTCAACGGTAGTAGTTTGCATGCCATGCTCCATGTCCGTTAAGTTGGCATCGTATTAGTATTTGAATACAGCGTCGACTTCAGATTTATAACAGCAGTCCCCTCAGCCCTGACCCACTCAGTTATTTACGAATCTCCTGTCCTCTTTTCTCTTAATCCCTTAGCTTGACCTCTACAGGCCAGTGAAAGGTCAAAAGTTGGTTACCCTGGCATTGCTTTGTTTACCGAATAAAGCCAATGAAATGGGTATCATATTGATACTCGTGATGTCTGCTTTTTCATGCCTGCAGGGACGTTCTTAAAAGGTAACGTCAAGGTCACATAAAATGGTATACTCCGGTATTTCTTCCCACCTAAAGAAAGTGCAACAGAAAAGGTGTCATATTGATGCTCGTGATGTCCTCTTTCGTCAGATCTGCAAAAACTTCCTTTCACGGTACAAATCAAGTCCACACAAAGTACGGTAAGCTACGATTTATTCCTTTATTAGAGAAATCCGATACAAGAGGTTCAGGTGGACTCGTACTCGTTGTGCCCGCTTTCGTTACACCAACCAAACCCAGTTCACAAGGCCTAAGGTCAGGGTGACGCAAAACGCGGTACCATGACATCTAATCAAGGCCAGAGTTTAAGGTCACACAGAAAAAAGCACCTTAGCCTTTGTTCGCTCATTCAAGAGAATAAAACGGGTATGAAATTGATGCTTTTGATTTCTGCTTTTCCCACACAAGCAAAAAGCATCTTTCAAACTCAAAGGTCAAGGTCACAAAAACATTGTGCCATGGAATACATTCATTTACCAAAGATATGCAACGCTAATCGTATCATATCGATGTTCGTGATGCCTGCTTTCGTTGCATTTGACAAAGTGACTAGGTGAAAATTCAAGGTTGCGCAAAACACAGTGCCCTGGAATTTAATCTTTTGCTTAAGATATGCTACAAAATATGTGTCAAGTAGGTGCTCGTAATGTCCATTTTCGTCATGCCTAGCAAGAGTACCTTTCAAGGCCAGATGTGAAGCCCACAAAAACGCGGTACCCTGACTTTCATTTCTTTACCAAAGAAATGCAACAAAAGTGGTGCTTTATTGATGCCCGTGATGTCGTGCTTTACAGGAAGGAAGTCGTGTTTTATTTCGTCAAGGTTGAAAACATTTACTATTTTATTCAACGGTTAAGAACATTCAAAATGTAGTGTCATGAAAATGCTCGTTTACTGAATAAATACCAACAATAGGGTATCATATAAATGCTCAGGATGTTCGCTTTCGCCACACCTGAAGAACTAAGTTCATATGTCAACGTCACACAAAACACGGTGGTCTAGCATTTTTTGTGCACCTAAGAAATGCAACAAAATGCTAATTTATTGATTTTGGTAATATTCAGTGTCGTTAAACTGGGAAAAGCTAGTATCACGGTCAGAGATCAGGGTCACGTGCGCCGCAGTACCCTGCCACACATTTCTTTAGTAAATAAATGCAGCAAAAGTCGTGTTTTATTGCTGCTCGTTATGTCTGTTTTTGTCATGTATGGAAAAACTAACTTAGGGTCAAAGGTCAGGGTCACAAAATGCGGTGCCGAGTTAGTTTTTCAAGTTTGACGGAAACAAACATCACAACCATCAATATGACGTGACGTTTTGGAATTTCTTCAGTGCATGAAAAATGCAAGAGTATTGCGCTCTGCGCGGCTTTGACCTTTAACCTTGTTTGTTGGTTGTCGCGAGTGTGACGAAAGTGGACATCACGAGCACCACTATCACGTCCACTATACTGTGTGACCTTGGCCCTTCACCCTGAGCTATTTTTCATGTGGAACGAATTTGGACGCCAAGGCGTCTTTACGATGCCCATTTTGCTGTGTTTCTGCGTTAAACGAGCACGCGAAAGCGCCGCCCACCACTTGACCTTGACCTTCGGCCTTAAGGGTAAATTTGTCATGTGGGACGCAAGCAGGCATCGTGAGCTTCAATGTCACTTGGTTTTTGCTGCATATCGTTAATGAAGGAATAAATTCCGGATTACCCGGTTTGGTGTGAGCTTGACCTTTAATTTTGATGCATAGTTTTCGCTTGTGTGAGGATATTAGGCGTCATGAGCGTCAGCATCATACTCGTCTAATTGTGTTTCCTGGGTGAGTGAATAACTGCTAAATTACTACTTGTGTGACCTCGACCTTTGACCTAGACGTTTCTAGGTGTGACGAAAGTGGGCATAACGAGCATTACTATTATGCACCTATTGCATCTTTTTTAGTTAGCTAATAAATGTCAGGGTACCGCGTTTTTTTGTAATCTATGGAATCTTTACCTTTGACCCTGAGAGTCAGTTTTGGCAGATGTGACGAAAGCAAATATGATGAACATTATTTGCCACCTCTTTTGTTGTCTTTCTTTGGTAAAACAATAGATGTTAGAGTACCGCCCTTTGTGTGACCTTGATCTTTGACCATGAAAGCTAGTTTTTCGCAAATGTGACGAAAGAGGACAGCATGGGCATCAATATCACACCATTTTGTTGCATCTTCTCATGAACAAAGGTAGGTCAGGGTACCCATTTCATGTGTACTTGACTTCTGACCTCGAGAGTGAGCTTCTGCTGGCGTAACGAAGGTGGGCATCATAAAAATGACTGCAATATCCATTTCATTGGATTTCATCGTTAACGAAGAAAATGCTAGGGTATACAAGTTTTGACATTTCAGTGACCTACAGAGGTCAAACCAAGTGACTAAGGGAAACGAGGATTGCAGATTCGTGAATCACTCAGAGGGTTTGACTTGGGGGACTCCTGTTAGAAATCTGGACTCGATAATGAACATGAATACGAATGCAACGCTAACTTGACGGACATCCACACTCCGCCGGTGTTACGGAGTTTCGGTGTGGGCGACTCTGCGAGCCGTCTGTCTCAGCATCTGGTGTCGGTCTAGCCTGCTTCTGTCTCGTTGATTAGTGCACGCGCGGCTGTATTGAGCCGCCGCCAGAAGACGCCATCATGTAACACGTCCGCTCCGGCCACGTGAGACAGCGCGTGCTGGCCCAACAGAAATGTCACGTGACCTAGCACGGGACAGTGAGATCGAATTACGTGAATTTGCCTGAATTTTGTGTTCGAAACGTTCGCGATCAAATGCGTGGTTTCAACAACAGCTTATTTAAACATCCCGGTGCGTTAGCTGTGTCGTTTTCTTCGCTTTAGCAAACCGACATTCTTTGGTTCTGGGAAGCAGGACATGGACATCTGATTGCACTATGCACTCGGTACAACGAACACTGGTCTATCTAGGGGCCACCCGTGGATAACTGAGTTATCAGGGCAATAAAGTAATAAATGTCCCAAAGCCGTGGGCCGCGGACAAAACGGGCATTACTCAGCGTCCGTCAGCCTGCGGTACCGAGTGCTTACAGCTTCCACAGCGGCGTGCGGCCAGATCCGCAACGACTTGTCAAAATCGCACGTCCAACGGCTGCGCGGGCGCGGCTCCTGCGCTTACGAGCCGGCCGACTGTGTCACGTTCGGCCCGGGATGGCGCGACCCTATGCCGCGCCCGAGAGCGGCGGCGGCCGTTTGGCGCGCCACCCGTCGCCTCCGAACTGACTGCCGGCGCGAGCTGACGGCTGGGAGGTGATAGCGGGGGAGGGGGGGGGGGGGGGCTGACGCCGAGCCGCGGCAGTGCAGCCCGCGCCCAGCTGCCATCCGGACCGAGTGTTGGCCAACCTCCAGCCATGGAAGAGCTACCGCCCACAGATGCAGTCGGTAGGCGCATTGTCTTCCCACGTGCGGGGTCCACTTGTGCGAGGTCTCATCGCGGGGGGTCCTCTCGTGTGGGGTCCACGCATAGGGGTTCCCTCGCCGAGAGCGTCTGTTCGCTGCAGCCCGACCCTTTTCCAACCCTGATGCGGAAATCTTGTTCAGCTGACGCTGATGCTTCTGACCGTGCCGTGATACAGCTGAATGTGAGAGCTCAGCTCTCCAACGCTTGTCATTCTGTTCTTTGTGCTAAGTTTTGACTCGTGTTTGTGTAAACCCTGTCAGCCATGCACGTGCGTTAGCGTGCTTTTTGTGAGTGTGCTTTCTTTTGAATGTCCTGTGCATGGACATTCATGTCCTGGACTGTCCATGTCCTGGACAAACACCATCTGTTAGCGGTTGGTCCAATGTGAGCTGGACGCCCCAGGGATTTGATTCGGGATGCTTTGGAAGTGCATGCATGCGCTGTTCATCAGCTTCATAATCAATCGTTAGATCCGCGTTTTTTCGCTACCCTAATGTCTTGTATTATAGGTATATTAGTGTGAGCTCGTTCCCAATGACTTCCCAATTACAAAATTAGCATTTTCGTACGCTAGTGCCCAGTGCAATGTGAAGCCAAGGTGAATCGTACCGAGCATTTTCTATGGCTCATCTCATATCAGATGTGAAGCCCCGCCCGCATTCAGCCTACACGTTAGGAGGAGCATGGCACCGGACGTTAATCATCCTCCTCTGGCCGGTTCTCTAGGAACGCGAGGCAGTGGATGAATGGATTCATTTCTGCCGGCTCGCATTTCCGGCCATTCATCAGGTCTCGCATTGGGCGAGTGATGACTCCTGGTGTTGGACGCTTTTGGTCATATGTACCACGCCCAGCTGACTGCAGTAGTTCATTCGATCCAAGGAAATTTCTGAAGATCTTTCACTAAGAGAACGATTTGATATATGGGCTTAATCACGATTGAAACCGTGACTTAAGATTATAAACGGAGTCAGAAGCCCTGCTACTAGTGTTTGGAACGCTTAACATCAGGCTAAATGTGTATCCGCTCCTCAATAGGGAAGACCCTTCGTACACCCAGAATAATCTGGGGTCGTTGCTGAGTCCTCTGTACGCCCAGGGCTTGAGATCTTGAACGGCTAGCACAGGGCTGTGGTTTTCTATTCAGTTCGGGGCGCAGGGGGGGGGGGGGGACGGTCTCTAACTTTGATAATATGCTGGGCCACATATGACAATAACACTGCTTTCGGGGTGTTTTGTGATCAGGTTTAGCCATTTTCCCATTCAGACCAACTTATTCTGCGAAATTTCTCCCTCAGGCCTGAATATTCAGCTTATAGCGAAACGAGCTGATCGAAAAGGGTCAAAGGATAAGCTGTTAAGAGTGGGATGATAGATGTACCGTGTTGTCTCAGTGACGTTCTGGCAAGAAACTTTCCGCATTGAAAACGTTCTAAAATCTATTGTTCGGTTCGCTTCCCTTCAAACTCGATGCGCCAAGATGCACTTCCATGAAACATGTTATCGTTGCCATAACTAGAAGCGCCCTCTGACCCGTACCTGTTGCGTCAGACCAAGAGGAGATGAAGCACAGCTTCAAGGTCCTGCTATCTATGAAGAAGGAGCCCGGCGGACAGCCACTGTTCTATAAAACGGACGGACAGCGCTTCAAGCGCGAGAAGACCATCAAACTCAACAGCAAGTGCCAGTATAGGATGGACCTTTCCTTTACTCCACCCAGAGGCGTTGAGTGAGTACATACCTGCTGCAGTTCTGTAAGCTCCACGTTGCTGGTGTTCGGCTGGGTGTGTTTGTCAGCTTGCATTGGGAATGTCTGTCTAGACCATCATAGACTAGCAACCGGGCGTGTCCCTAAATGCTTGCGGGGAGCCTGAGCACCCTCCTCCCCCAATGCTGACTTGAGCTCCCTCAGTGACCCTCCGAGCCCTCCCAATGCATATGAGTAAAAATGGAATACTGGGCCAATGAAACACAGCAAGTGTTTGGACTGTTGTTACACTAGGTGTCTAAACGCATGGCATGGTAATGCCATTGTTATCTAGTGTCATTATCATTATCACATTGGTTTCAAATGGGAAGTCATTCCTCGACATCAAAACAATTTTGGAACCGGTCATTTCCTTCTTTGTTTAAATTTTTACGTCAGGTACGTCTCAAATCGGCGGCCGCAATCTGGCGAGAAATAATAATTTAGAGGAAGGTTAGGTCAACTTTATTAGATCGGTCCCCAAACCGATTTTAGAAAGCGATACCCCTGTTAGCAACAACTGCAGGTAAACGCCTTATGACACCCCTGCTAGCAACAACTGCAGGTAAACGCCCCTGTGACACCCCTGTGAGCAGCAACTGCAGGTAAACGCCTTGTGACGCCCCTGTTAGCAACAACTGCGGGTAATCGCCTTGTGACACTCCTGTTAGCAACAGCTGCAGGTAAACGCCTTGTGACACTCCTGCGAGCAACAACTGCAGGTAAACGCCCTGGGAAGCGCCTGTTAGCAACAACTACAGGTAAACGCCTTGTGACACTGCTATTAGCAACAACTGCAGGTAAGCGCCTTGTGACACTCCTGCTAGCAACAACTGCAGGTAAACGCCTTGCGACACTCCTGCTAGCAACAACTGCAGGTAGACGCCTTGTGCGACGCGCGACGAATGGGCTGATATGAGACGTGACAGTATATGTGGCAAGGGTTATGAAGATGATGCCAAGAACTAAGTGAATAAACGCAGACGTCTTCTGATATTGACACTGACAGCTTTCGTCGATGCGAGAGAAGGGCTGCTCAGTCTGCCTGTCATCCGAATTTATCAGGCTGAGGTCCACTGATGCAATACTGTTGCCAGCCCGTAATGACAAGAACTATACCCAAAAACTGACTGGCCAGGCTGACCGGTCTGGCTGACGGCTTCAGTCGGACTTTACAGTTTTAAGGCAGGACATCGACAAATGCGCATTTATTATAGCTTTTGCTATAGTATTGGAAAAACGCAGATGTTTTGCGTGGATATTGGTGACGGTTAGTAGAGTGGGCACCTGTATCGTTTTGACGACTAAACGTACCCTTGTTTTTGACATAGTGTGTGATATCCGATATAGATTTCCAAAAAAGGCGACGCTGACCGATTCTCGGTCGATTACCGGCGAACGAATAGATCTGTGGAGCCAGTTTTAGATCCGTGCGCAAACTGCGGCTGATACACTCAGCTACACCGTGCAGTCGGTTTCACGTTTTCATCTGGTCTGGGTGCTGAGATCCCACGTCAATCGCTAAAAACGCCCAAAACAGGGATTTAGGTTTGCGCACGAGACCGCGTGACCGTCTGCACACATCGACTCATGCTTTTATCAATACGGTTATCTTGTTCCTCCCTTCAGGATCTGTTTGTCCCGTCTCGCTGCGAAACCGAATCGTCAAGACATGGACGCGGCTTTGACCGGTGTTTTCAGCCTTTTCGAAATTTTAAGATACCACTTTTTCATGTTGATCCAGCAAGGGGGTGAAGTCGCGGCGATAATACGATTTTGCCGCAGAAACTCGCCAGATTAGACAATCTGTTGCAAATGCCCAGCGATTTGCATTACGCGATTTTTGAGGATTTGGGCTTGCTGCTTAAAACTGCATGAAACTGTATGTAAATATATGTTTAAGAAAGCGCCACGACCAAGAATTTGGAGTAGAAAATCGTCACATATTTTGATTAAGACCTACACATTGTTGGTGCCGTATCACAGAGCATTTTTGGATTAGTTGCACGGAAAGGCCCACGCATACATTTTACATTTTACACGGCAGAGGTTTTACGTTCTCAGCATCCTTTCGGGACCATCCTTACCACGCATTGACAGCAGTCAGGATCATCTTGATCACGCACTAACAGCAGTCAGTACCATCTTGATCACCCACTAACAGCAGTCAGGACCGTCTTGACAGTAGTCAGGAGGCTTTCGCGGCATGTGCGCAGCGGGCCTATCAAGCCTCCTTGGGTCCGGTGGCCAGAGGACAGCTGCACTGGCCCAGAGTGAGGCCGCGCCCTCGGGCTGGATCACTGCACCGAGGGATCTATTTAAAGCCATACCATGCACGTGAGCATACGGCCGCGAGCGCTAGCTCGCACTGCGTTAATCCCGCGGCAGGACGATCACTGCCCGGTCCTTGCCACCCCCTGGGTAGGAGTCGTCCGAGAAAAAGGCTGCTGTGGTTGGGCTTGAACCGAACACCTCCCTCCTGCATTGGAATGGGCACCATGTAACCACGCCGCCCAGGTGATCATTCAGGTAAGATTCGCTGGGCCTGTGGCTTCGCTCGTAATCATCAGGCAGGTGTAGGTGGACGCGTCTGCTTTCCAGGCCGGGATGACCTGCACCCGTAAGTACGTTTAGAAGAGTATGCTATATAATCGTTACCGGACGCACGATACAATGTCCAGAGTAGTGTAAGAATACATCAACAACTACGAGCATATTTTAGCGACCGAGCCTCAGTCTACAAAAGGTCGGTGACCGAAGGGGACAGCTAGTGACCCAGTGGCCGGGGTCGGGTCCAGCCGCGCCAGTCCAGCGCTCGCCGCCGACTGGTGGATGCAGATACCAGCGCGCCTTGCGGGGAATGGGCGCAGGCTGCCAGGTATGATACGGAGGCCTCACAAAAAGGAGAACGGAGTTGATTTGCCACCAAATGCACGATGGACACTTCAGTGTGGTAATGACAAGCAGTTCGGACTGTTCACTTGTAATATACTTCCATCACCTCACAATAAGGTAATAGGCGATGCAATTTTAGAAGCGTTTGACATTTTTGCAACAGCACGCAAAACACGTCGTCCGGTGCAGTCCATATCTATCACAAGTGTTCCCTTACGACATATTAAGCAGGCTACAGATGCGCGTTGTAATACAGCATGTCCACGGCACTAATAACCTATGGTGCTTCTGCGGGCATAAATTATCTTCCCATGCAATCCGTTGCCACTTCATGTAAATTTGGGCGCTGGAGCATTTAACCTGTCTCGTTTTCTGTTGGTTTCTCTTCAGCAGTTTTCGGTTGTTCTTCAGGTGCTGAGGTCGACTCCAGTCCCTCTTTTTTCGGCTCCATCTGATCATTCCCGGTGTCGTTGCCTTCAGGTGGCTTAGCATCTGCAAGCCACGTCTTCATCATTTCCTTCCTTGCTGCTTCCTTTTCCTCCACTTTGCTTTTTTGCAGCTCCTCCCATTCCACTAGGTTTGTTTGCGGATTGTTTTTAAACAGATACTCGGCCAGAAAATCTACAGGATCTTCTGGTTTCACCTTAGCGCACTCTAAAAGACCTTGAGTCAACGTTGGTATCACGTGCTTCATCAAGTAATTTCTGAGAGGCAAAGACCGTGCCTCTAGCGCTTCCAGCTCTTGTAGCTTCACTTCCGTGATTTTCTCCATCCAGATCATTTGCTCTCTTCTTCGGTTGTCCATTTCCTCCCGTGTGCATCGGTCCGTCTCTTCCCGCTGTCGTGCTTCTCTCGCTGTCCTTTCCTCCTCTTGGCGTTGATGTTCTTCCTCCGCCTCTTCCTTCGTCAGCCCATAGTTTCTGGCCGGCCCCAGTTTCTTAGAGATCATCTGGAATTCCTCTTCCAGTTCAGGGCTGGTATCGTCGGATATGTTTATTTCCAATGGGTGCACTTCCAATTCGTCGAAGAAGTTCAGCACGCTGACGTCCTCTTTGTTGTTGTTTCTGTACTCAGTCAGCCTCCTCAGCACACCGTCCTCCGTCCAGTGGGTGCCCTGCACAACCTCCTCCGGGAGATTCATTGCCCGCTCACATAAAAACTCATCGGTTCCGTTCAGTGCGATCACAAGCTCTGGCATCGTCGCACGATTATATTGGGGTTCGTCTTCCTCACCAATGTCATCTGCTTCCTCATCCGCCCCAAATAATCCCTCTGCCTGTTCCGTTATTTTGGGATATCCGTCCAGTACAAATCCTTGGTTCTGACAAGGCTTGGACCTAATCCGATCCTCAACGAATTGCAGCACTGTGGCTTCATCCAATCGACCATTTTTGTTAGCTTCTCTTTGATCTTTGATATCCTGCAGTAATTCCTGGGCCTCTTCGGGGGTCATCTTATCTTCGTCTTCTTCCTCCTCCTCTACTTCTTCCTCGAAGTCTTCAGGCTCCTGTTCTTCTCCTTCTTCTTCCTCTTGCTGCTCCGAGCCAGCTTCTTCGTTGCTCTGCTTCTCTTCGGGGAGCGTGACGGGTGGGTCGTCTGGGATCGGCGGGTGCGCGATCTCCTCCAGATCCTTGATTGCTTTCTCTATTATTTCATCCACGCGCAGGTGGTGAAGCTTGTACGCCTTGCTCAGCTTTTGTGCCAGAAAGGTTTTCCCAGATACAGGGGGTCCCAAGATGCATATGCGCATAGGCTGTAGTTTTCTCTCCGCTTTGTATTCTTTGACCACACTGAGAATGCCCTCTACGAAACCTTCTTCAGACCTTCTCTCTTCGATGTCGTCAGCAAAAACGATACCCTCCATTTTAAGGTCACTCGTGATCAGATCAGCATGCAGAAGGGTCATATCCGTGAGGAAAATGTCCTCTTTGTCCGCTCTTTTTACTTGGCCCGTTGAAAGTTCCATGCTGATAGCCTTCACTATCTCGCGCTGTGTATTTGACAGCCCGTCCACGGCCAAAATGTAGCGCGATGGCGGGCGTTTCTCGTATGTGTACTGGACCAGTTGAGCAAGGTCCAGAACGTGA